CCCAACGGGGACTGAAGGGCACGTGACTTGCGTACGTGCCCGCCTAGACGTTAAATAGACACACACACACACACACACTCTAAGCATCCCTATTTGCTATAACTATCCTGATGTGCCTGTCCTGTCGGAACGCCGTCTGGACTAACTCATCACATGACGCGGGGCATGCCCTTTAGCACGTGATTCGTGACACTTAAGTAACAATAGAATACTTCCTATTTACTTAAGCGGGGTTTATTACGTATAAACCTAATTTACTATAAAACTCGAAATCGAACCTTTAAATCGAACCTTTATACGTATCCTTTAATAGGCGGTATAGCTTAAGGCTCTATAGGAGTAAATAAGTATCCTAGGCTCTTATAACTTTTAATAAGAGATCTTTTATATAATAAGTTATAAAACCTAATTTAATAAATTTTATTTTTAATTTTTTATTATTTCTAATACTTATAGATAGAGCTAATAAACAAATATTGTAGTACTATAGATAGAATTTCTATAAGATTTAATTACTTACTTAAAAATATACTTATTAACTTAAACTTTTTTTTAAAATACTTCTTAGATACTATAAAATAAACACGTTATTCAATAATATAAGATTACTATACTTTTAAAAGTATAGTATTAAAAGAAAGGTAGAGTTATTATAAATAACGTATCTAGAGTACGGACTACTAATTAGACAAGGGGGGTAGGAGTTAATTTACTATACTCTAGGGAGTCGATATACCCGCTCTCTAGAGTCAAGGTATTTTATAATCTACCATGCTGGTCTCACTTATTATTACTTCATCTACTTCTTAAATATCTTTGTAGAACATTCTGACGATGAGACTCTAGGTCCCAGAAGGCAGAATAGTGTGAGGGAAGTATATTGTGGGAAGGAATGCTGTTGGCGTTCATCAATTATCTGCGAGCGGCGCTAGTCCTCACCCTAACCCTGACATCTTTTTGGATACAGACTCTTAAAGCTGGTTAGGGACGACAAAAAAACAGCAGTGAATTTATTCTCTTATGGACGTGAAAATTGTATTTCCAAGTAGTATGTTTCTTTCCTTGTATTATGTTTAGAAGTCCACTGTCAACCATTTCAGTTCGCCATTACGAAAATTGGATTACTTTTGCAGCTGAGTAATCTAAAACTTTGATACGGCATTAGAACCGGGGATCTCGGCTGGTTGGGGAGGCAGAAGATGATTACAACTTAGAAAAGGCCTCGATAAAAGTAAATCTAATGCTACGGTCATAATATACATGTGGTAAAATTATAAGAATATGTTTGGTCTTCCAGTTTATAATGCAATGATATTCTATATTCTCCGTCCTTCTAAAGTACTGACAACCTCGAAAAAGTACGCAAGCTTTCCTAGAAATGAATAGCCAAGGGCAAAATATCGAAGCTGGAATCTACAAAAAATCCCATAATGATTGGGGTGGCCAGTAACGTCTTCTACTGCCACCTCAACGAGACCGAGTTTTCTGAAATTGATCCTATACCTTTTCCTTCTTCAAATCTCCTTTTGTGACGATTTTGGCAAACCAATAGAATCCTTGGTAATGCAACCAAAATAATGCACCTAGCTGAACAATCGCAAGTGCGACTGGTAGCTGGGCTTCTGAGACATTTATCGTGGAATGGTCAGCCCCTATTATTGTTTGCGGGACTGGTATTGGATCTCAGAGTGTGGCGAGCATGTCTGAAGCCATCCACCACAATGTCAAACTTCCTGTTCCAAGTCTTACCACGATGTAGGTTGCCAATAGTATCAATCGATTAACCTTTGGAGTCAAGGCACTTTTGAGTCCCGCGCTATCCAATTGTCTTTGTATGTTCAAGAATATGTTTGGAAGCTACAAAATCTCGGATTCAGTATGCTAATTGACTTCGCTTATATCAGGAGTTGGAGAAGTGTCTGTGCGAAGCATGGGTCTGTTCGACAGAAACAGGGTACTCACCTCCCATATCATAAGGTGTGCATTGTAATGCAGAGACAGTGGTCGCTATTTGAGTCAGAACGAATATTGGTAAGCGCACCTGGAAGAAAACCTACAAAACCCAAACAAACTGCGCAGAGAGCACAAACAGAATGTGCGAACATGAAGTTTCCTTCAGACTTTTTATGTATCCAAACGTTTACTAGATGGAAGCAAAAATATCCTGTAGAAACAGCAAGTGCAGCCGCTGTTTCCGAATGATATCCAAGAATTCTCTCTTGGGCTGTAAGGCCTTCTCTGAATTCAGCATGTAATAGAACATAGACAGCAAGTGCAGAGTTGATGATAGACTGCGCAATGCTGACAGTATTACTATTCCAGTAAAATCGAGACAATTCAGTAGAGGGAACATTGGGATTGCGTGGTTTGAAATGGAGCAACCAGGGCCCAATAATGGTGTAAACAAACTGGTAAAACAGCGCAGAAAAGAAGACGAGTGGTAGGTGAGGTATAATCCCTGGAAGGTTAAGGATTTCAGGACCAAAAAGTCGTTTTAGATCCAGAACTTGATATTCATGATAAGATACTGAAAAACCGGTCATCGTGCACGTTATTGAATTTCTTCCAGATGAACTTCCACCCCTTGAACATTTGTGAAAATCACATCTAATATGTAAGAAGGTCAGAAACTAGATTATAAGCTTAAAAGTATTTATTCATCGTGATCTCTAAAAACAAAATTCTCAGCCTCCACGCTCAGCTCCAGGTGGCATGCTGCCACATGGACAGAAGGGGGCTAAGCTTACGCTATTCGGCTATTGAAGTAATCGTCTAAACCGATTTTAGCCAAGATTATGTGAGCAAAGTAATCTCCAATATGTTGTAGCGTGTAAATAATTAATTTGGTTGCCGCTGTCCAGACTTCTAAGTACTTCTAGGACCCACATGTACCGCCTTTTAGGAAAACGGTCGAGACCTGTACCGGATTTTGGGGCTTCATTGGGACATTCGATAGATTCAGTCATTTTTGGAACTATCTATTCCCCAGCAAAGAAATCGACCATGCTTGACCAAGCTTCAGCCATTCTGGTGCACCATTAAAATTTGTTTAATACAGTAAGTCTCACCTACAGTACCCAGCACAATTAGTCAGTGCTTGCGAGGGATCCAATTTTTCATCCACTGCTTCCACGTCTTGCATTTTCCACTTGAAGTTTTGACAGGTATCTCTGGCATAGATCTTTTTAAAACACCATGATGGAAAGCATGGAAAACAAAACGCCCACTCACATCTCAATACCATCACTCCTATCACCTCTATCGCCCCCTTCGTCGTCAGATTCGTTTACAGCCCCAGCAAAAACAGAACCTGGGAATCTAACACACCCAGAAAAGAAATCTCTTTCTTTCAAGCTTGCCTATGCATCCGTCATGGCAAGTGCATTCATATCTACTATGGATACAGTTATTGTCTTAACAGCCCTGCCTGCAATCGCATTAGATTTAAATGCGCATTCAAATTCTGCTTACTGGATGGGTTCAGGATTTCTTTTCGCACAGGCTGTGAGTCAACCACTATACAGTAGTCTGTCGATGGTTTTGGGGAGGAAGGATTGCCTGGTTTTCGCAATGGTCCTTTTTACTGTCTCTATTTTGTCTTGTGCTTTGGCACAGAGCGCAAGATGGTTGATTATTGCCCGTGTGGTAAGTGACAACTTGTTTTCATTCTGAGCGAATTTCCTTGCTTTACACAGCATGCTTCGTTTGTCAGACATATTCCGGGGTGAACATGGGATAACAAAGCAGCAAGAAGGGATGAAATTATGCAGCTTGTTGGAGACATGACTCTGTATACGCTTCCTAAAATGCACCTGATTTTTTCATATTAATTATGCGAATTATTTGGAATGACAGGTTCTTGGATTTTCCAACTATTCCACTTGGCTGGAAAAATTGGAATGATCGATTCATAAATTCTCACCCAAAAGCTTCGAAAAGCGTATGCAAAATAATGGCAAGGCCATATTCCCAAAGGATGCGAGGAAGTAAATTAACTTGCTAATGAAAGCATGACATAGTTCCAAGGACTCGGCGCAGGAGGCATCAACGTCACAGGCAGCATAATAATTACAGATATGGTACCTCTTCGAGAAAGAGGAAAGTACATCGGAATTTTATCGCTAGCCTCCGCGCTTGGGCTCGTAAGTGGCATCTTGATGGGAGCAGCAATTGCCGGCAAAGCAACATGGAGATTGTAAGAATGTCTACAATTGAAGAAGTGTAGATTTTAACAAGAACACAGGATTTTCTACATAAATCTCCCTTTGTGTATACCAGCTACAGCAGGTATATACTTCTTTCTCCACCTTTCGGCCGAACCTCTGTCAATAAGGGAAAAACTGAAACGAAAGGATTGGATTGGAATTACCGTGCTTACTGGCTCATTGATTTCACTCCTTTATGGTGTCACCAGTGGAGGTGTACTCCATGCTTGGAATTCCGTCTCAGTAATTTTATAAGTATTGTCATTGGGGTTGTTGGGGTGACATTGTTCGCTTTCTACGAACAGAAATTCGCCAAAGAACCGATGATACCACTCAGGATCTTCGCGAGTAGAACTGCTGGAGTATCCTATCTCTCCTCTTTTTGTTTAGGCTTTGTATTATGGGCTACGCAGTATTATTTGATACAATATGTACGTAAGCTGCCGTGCCCCACAATAGAAGCTTCGTCGTTGATGAGATGAAAACAGTTCCTCACCACTCAGGGACATTCACTCGTAGGGGCTGGCGTTGCGATCTTACCAGGGACAATTGTCATTCCAGTCATGGCTGCAGCGGGTGGCATATTCATCTCAAAGTTGCAAAAGTTCAGGACCATCAATTCGGTCTCATGGATAATCGTAACCATAGGATTTTCCTTGATGACCCAGCTCAAAATAGATTCCAACAAAGCCATGCAATTCGGATTTCAAATCATATGGGGCTTCGGTTCAGGCATTGTATGTTAATGAGTTCCACCACCCAGAAAATATTACTAACGTATTCAGCTTTTTCCTGGAAGACAAGTGGCTGTTCAAGCAGTACAAACCGATGAAGATGTTCCAATGGTAATTGTATCGCAATTCAATCTCAAGCTTTTACTAATCACATCAAAGGCAACTGCAATGACTTCATTCATAGCAAGCTTAGGACAGTCCTTTGGAGTTGGAATTGGCGGTGTTGTCTTCCAGAATCAGTGGAGCACGCATGTTCAGAGTGCAATATCAGCAGGGACCATTCCACCAGAGTACAAACTCTCATATCACCAGGCAGAGCAAGCTGCGGTTCTGATCAAAAATTTCCCTTCCACAGTCCAAATCGTTTATAGAGTAATTATGGCCGATGTTATAAATACTCTTTTCATTGTGCTTGCGGGGTTTTCGGCAGTGGCATTTCTTGCAAGTTTGGCTTCCAAGAACCTGAGTCTGGATAGAGAGACAAAAAGTGCACAGCAATTTAGGGAAAGAGAAAAACCAGAGAGAGAGGACAATTAGTTCTAGATATATCATATTAAAATTTATTTATTTCGATTATACTTTATAGATAAGTTATATATTTAATATAAATTATTAATATAAGTTATCAGATTTACTTAACAAAGATGAACTGTTATTATCTTCATTTACTTGTTTAAAAAAAGTAAAGTACGAATCTAATATAAAATATTTTTTGGTGATTTGTAATATCTACCATAGTTTAGATAAGTAACGATATCCTTTAACAATTCCTAGACTTAATAATTTTTTAAATAATGAATTTATGCAAGAGTTTAAAACATATCTAGAAGACGGGGAAGTTCGCGACACCATAACATGATAAAAGAAGACGAGTCCAGATTTGTCCCTTGAACCTGGCAATACAAAAGCGAACGTTAATCGGAATGCTCACAGTGCAATGTCATTCTTTATCGTTAATGATTCTTCATCTTCATGTTACCTGTTATAGCCTCCACTTTAAACGAATAAGAGTTCTAGTACCTCTCAAATGCGGCGAGTCCTTAGGTCCTTGAGAAAAGGTTTACGATTCAATAACTCCTTTACACTCGGAGAACTCTCTTTATTCGCTTCATGAAGTATCTTCTATACTTCTCTATAACCTGTAATGAAACTTCATATATGATATACATCAGCTAGCGGTACTACAAAGTTTGGTAGACTTCAAGAAGAAAAATTCTTGGGCTCCTATAGTGAGGCCTATCAACTACACTTGGTCTGTTCATTTTGCCAAGAAGGGCAAATGTATATGACGGAGTAATCACTGGCAAGGGGAGGTTCAAAATTATTCTCTAGTGTAAAAAAACTCTCTTAACTAATATAGACGTCGCTATTTCTGAGATAGAAATGCTGCCTTCTTAGATGTTATTTACTTACCAGTACTTTGACTAGGAGCAATAAAGTAATACACAAGTAATATTTTGTCACAAGCTTAATACTTAGATGGAGCTTTAATTGAACTTTGTTGATTGTCCCTTTCAGAGTATCGAGGCCAGAAAAGGTACACTTGAAGTGGAGTAAAACCATCTACCTCCATAACACCTTCCCCGTAAAACAAAGTTATTCGGCTAACTAGTCAACGTTTCTAAGCATCCAAGCCTTAATTCGACCCAGTTACCGCATACACTTTATCCACTTTCAAGTGCACGTTTTTTAGGCCCTCGATACTCTGGAAGGGATATAACATTTAGCTTAATTCTACATAAAAACCCCTTTCTAGGTAATTAGATAACCCCCAAACATTTCAAATACTCTGCTACTTTATTAAGCCTAACTTTGGACCAGCGAGTTAAGTAAGAACAATAAAAGAGCGTAACTAATGTAGACGACCTGTTGGAAGACGAGGGAACAATGTAGAATGGATAGGCTGGAATAAAGAGAGAAGCTACCTAGGGGGAGCAGGGAGTCTTATAAGACGACCCTGACCGAGTGGAAGCCGCTAGAATACTATAGTAGGCAGCCACCTAGGCAACCGAGACAGGGGGTCAGGCAGCAGAGAAAGGAGTGCAGGAGTCTCGGCTAAGACCCACATGTCGTAACTGTCACGGATGCCAACAAAGGATAAAGTATATACAGCTTTTGAATCAATTGCTAGAACTAAAACCGTAGGTACGAAGAAATCAAACTAAAGAGAGAAGAGAATCTGAAAGGAGCGAAGTTATTTAAGTTGTTCCAATGCCAAGTCTCGTCACGTGCTTGGCCAAGCGAATGAAATCCTGTCAAATGAAATCCAGCTCCGTCACAGTAACAGAACCGGAACATGTAGATTAAATTCAGGTTCCAAGGCTTGAAATTCGTAATAGTAATTTAAGAAAGATATTGTTTTGTTCTCGTTTCCACCACCGGTTTTGTATAGGGGTTCAACACTAGCATATTGTGTGTAAGTAACAGGGAGAGAAGCGAGAGCTAAGAGTCTAGAAAGGAGAGCAGTAGAGGGACAAAAGATCTTAGCTATACCTGCTGCGTATTACTAGCCCTTCTATTCTATCCTTTTAAAAGGCCTAAGCTAGCACATAGTACGCTAATAGTCGATTGTCTCGATTCGGTAGTAGAGCTTTATCTTAAACTAGTTTTCGTTATAATACGCGGGTTACAGACAATTACTATATAAGGAAAATGGTGGTATTATATAACTAGTCGTCAATTTAAGAAATGTAGAAGTAGAAAGTAGTAGCTTAAATATAGTTGAAAGTTCTACTCTTAACTAACTCTTTTAACCCGTAACATTTATAGTACTACGCGATATCTATATTAACAAATAACGTTATTAATTCATCTACTAACATCTTTGTTCCTAGGGTATAGTAGTAATTTGTAATGCCCTCTTAGTTCTTTATATATATATTAACGTTATACACGAAGTAGTTAGAACGTTTATGAATTCCTAGATTCTCTATAATCTTTATTGTTCTCTAATAATCGCCGAAAGATTAAACTTGCTAAGAACCTTAACCTCCTCCTTTTTACATCTAACTTTCTTCTTGGCGTAAGAATCCTAAAACATATTCCCTACTCCAACTATCTAAAGAACTTAAAACCTATAGACTAAACCTTAACCCCTTCCTTTTAATATATAACCTTCTTTCTCGCGTAAGAATCCTAAACTATCTTCTTAATTCCAGCCATTTAAAAAACAAAAATCCTAGAAACTATATCTCCCTTTCTTCTTTCCTATCTATAAGCTACCTTTTCGCGTAAGAATCCTAAAATAAAACAACTAATATAACTCCTTTAGTAAATAGAACTCTACGAACAAATCCCTCCCCTACTTCCTTCCTCTCCCTACCCTCCTCTTCCGCGTAAAAATCCTAACCTATCTTCCCTCTTCCCTCCCCCTAAAGAAACTAAAACCCTACAAACAACCCCTTTCCTCCCTCTCCCTCTCCCCCTCTACCCCTCTCCACGTAACCCCTCCATCCTAACCCAGATGTTTAAAACCCCTAAAACAACCTAATTCCCTCTCCTTACATCCCCCTACCCCATTTCCCTTACCCTTCCTAACCCCAAACAAAGAACTCCTTTCGCTCTCCCCCTTCTAAAAACCTTTTCTATGTATATATCTTACGCGAAGTATAAGAACACCCCTCCTACCATTTAAAAATGGATGTATTCTATATCTTAAGAAGAGATATAGTTATTTGAATAGCATAGAGTAATATAGAGAGAATACCTTTCTTACGGGAAGGAGAGATATATACGTACTACCGTTCAAAAGGGGTAAAAGATTCGGGATTCAACTTAGTGAAATTAAGTCCTTTCGTAGGAATCGATGATAACAAGCAGGTTTTTTTCATCATGAATTCATAAAAGTCCCTAAAAATCCATGATTCTACCATATAAAAGAAGGGAACTTTCCCTATCTTAGCGATAATTTTCACGAGTAAGTGCTAGAAACCACCAAGGCAGATATGGATTACATAGCAGTTACAAGGGAAAGATTTCGCTATAAATGACAGAAGATACCAAGTACCAACTTCAAAGCAAAGAAGTTTCATAGCTTTTAACCAAGTATTTTACGTCGTATCACAGGAATCTATCAAGTCAAACACAAAAGTAAAGAGAGAACTTTGCTTCAATTAATCAACTAACGTAACTGCCGGATATCACATCCTTTAAAAAGGCACCCCCAAACTCCCGCACAGACAAACCCGAAAGAAAAAAAACCGCAAAGTAAACCACCCCAAACACCCCCCAAAGTAACCGCAGGAGCCGCAAGACACCAGCAGACCGAGCCACGCAAGGAGCTTCAGAAAGGAAACTCATCGTCCTCGACCCAGACACAGGTGAGATAACCCAGCCTGGCCTTGTCGTTGGACTGACCCTGAGTGTTATCTCTCGTCAGCTCCTTCATGTACTCGGCCGCCTCGGTCTTGCAGTCCTCCACCGCCTTCGTCAAGATCTCCAAAGCACGAGCCGACATCGCGAATCGGGAGGTAAAGTTGTGGAGCGAGGCGGGTGTGAGGTAAGTCACACCGCCCGTCGCAATGGTTCGGTAGAGACGGATGCCTCCATCATCGGCCCGATGATGGTAGTCGCGAAGGAAGGCATTGGCGATGTATTGCATCCAGATACTACGGGCTGTGGAAAGTTAGTAAGGTGGTCAAGAAGAAGAGGGCAGAGAGTAACTTGCCTTGGTACAGGTAGATGTCAGACGAGTAGACCGTTCTATCCGGGATATAGGCGTTCGAAGAGTGCGGATGATACATCGCCACTGGCCAGAAATTGATGAGGTCCTCCTCGGTCTTCTTCTTCAACACTTTAAGTTGATCGATCTTCTTCTGGATCAATTTCTCGATTGCCAGAAAGACAGGTCCCTTGTTACGGAATTGCGCGGGGTTAATTCGCTGGTAACGTGAGTCGATCTTTCCAACACAATGGATGATTGCCTCGCGGAAGATGATGGGCGATTGAATGCGAGTGGCAATGTTAATCCAGGTCTCTGGGTTGCCTCGGATGTAATCCCACAAACGTTGGCCCATTCGGAGGTAAAGCATCTCCAAGAAGCGACCGACAGCATCCATAGCACCGTGTTCCTCGGTGAGAATGAGTACACCTATGGTTCTGGCAACAAAACGCTTGTCGTTGGCGACAACGTCCTTGTCCTCGATGGAGACTCCAGCAACAGGACCGAAGTCTGTTGCGTTGTTGGTGATGATACGGAAGAACAGATCGTACATCTGGTTGAATGGTGGGTTCTCTCCGACATCACGCTCCAAGTCGCTAACCTTGAGCTTGGCCTTGCTAGCAGGGTTCTTTGAAAGGTCAGTATACCACGAATGAACGGGGGAGATGATAGAGGTGAGGATCACTTACGATCCACTTGAAAGATCGAAGGCGAAGGTCAGTTGGGTTCTCCTCATTGGGGACCAACTCGAACTTCCACTTGATCGTGTTGCCAGCGTCGCGCTGGGCTTTGGTGCGAGTAATTGGTTTGTGCTCATCGAGGAGCTTTGCAAAGTCTTTGGAGGCTTTGCGAAAATCAACCTCGGAGAAGACCCATTCATAGCCCTTCTTGGAATGAATGGAGACTTCGCCAGGACCCAATACGAAGCCTCTGTTGCCGTCATCCGGAGCCGCACCTGGTAGATATTGGGCGATGGCGGGGATCGAAGCCTCGCGAGGAGCCGCTGCAGTTGGGTCGTCGCGAGGACGAGGATTAAGGATATTGATCATATTTTCGAGGGTGAGCTGCTCGTTTTCACGCAGAGGGGCGTCGTTGCGAAGACGTTGCGCGAGGGTATTGTCGATGGGTTTCTGTGTTGGCTCTGGTGGGAACTCCTTCTCGACAGGCATCTTGGCTTTCTCGGCTGCTTCAGCTGCGAGGCGTGCTCTGGTTCCGAGTGGTACCTTGCGAATTAGGTTGCGAGTGAGCTCCTCGAGAGAATTTGGATCAGGTGGAGGAGACTGGGCGGCGGTGTCGTCTTCAGCAGGAGCAGGAGCGACCGAGGGAGTGGGCGTGAGGGAGGGCTCGCGAGCGGGAGATTGAGCTTCTTCGCTGCTTCAGTATTCAGCGACCGGAGCCTTCGATTAGTGGGGGACGGCGGAGCTCAAATCTTAACCGAACCATAGGGTTAGGGCTATCGGGGAAAGCATAAGGCATCGATCGAGCAGTCGGACATAGCTTTTCAGGCACACATCCCGTTGCTAATTTCCGAGTGACGCCAACAGCATTGCTGTCGAGTTTCCTCTGCGACGCTAGACCACTGAGCCCTACATCCAAGAGACTCGAGAGCAAGTGTGCTCTCCACAAGGACTTGAAGAGTATGATGGGTAATACAAAGAGAGACAGGAGACTCAATAACTCTCCTGTGTCTCTTTGCACAACCCTCTCATAGTTGTTCTTCATAGCCTCCCGGTGAATATGTCATCCCACAAGACGTGGTATATGAAAGGCAACGGCAGAAAGAGGATCGTCGACAGCGAGTATAGAGAAAAGGGGGGCGAAGAGCATAACAAAAGGACGGGGAAGAGCATAACAAAAGGATGACGAAGTGTATAACATACAGGCCATCCATAGCTTCAGCAGCACGTTCCAAAGCTGCGATACGGGGATGTGGAGCCGATGGTGTTTCCTGCATAGGAGAGAAAGAGGCGATGGACTCGTCGTCGTCAACGAACATAGGGGTACCTGGATCCGACATCTGCAAGAATTTGGGATTAGCATTGAAGATACCAAGTGGAATGACTCTTTGAGAGAAGATGGTGTGTCAATGGCTTCGTTGAAGAGAGAGGCCAAGCGAGAGGGCCTTTTTGCGGAGGCTTCTCTGGCATTGACGACCCTCGTCAGAAGACAGCGACGATGGCTCGGCGTCAGCTAAGCTTAATTGACTCTACAAGGTAGAGCGATGAGCTTCGATGATAGAGGTCAATGTTGAGATGCTTGGGATGCTTGCTGTTGATGAGTTGGGATGTGAATTGCGTTCGCAAAGGACTGCTGGACTGCTGGACTGCTGGTCCAACCCCTCCCACCAAGGCCACTGAGCAGGCGACGACTCGCAATCAGCGGAGCTTGATTGCATCTCCAACTCAGAGACGCAAGCTCTGCTGAGCTTGAGGTCAAAGTTGACAACCATGAGATGATGAGGTTGATACCCTGTGAGATGGAGGATACCTGCCATCTCACGGTCGGTCGGTCGGTCGCGCCATCAAATGGTTGATATTGTGCGCAACACGTTCAACCCATACCTCAGAGTATACTCTGCCCGAGGGAAAGGGGGAAAGAGGACAGTACAAACCTTGATCAATGAAGCGATCTGATGATACAAAAAGGCGCAGGGTTGGTGGTTGAAGAAAGACAACAAGACCAAAAGATGTTGTTGATGGAGGTTGGAAAGTAGAAAAGGATTTGTGGGAGCCTAGACGACCTTTATCGTCTTGCTATCTCGGTCCGATATAGGCCGGTGAGGAGGGGGCGAGGGGGGGAGGGGGCGGGATAGATATGGCNAAAAGGATTTGTGGGAGCCTAGACGACCTTTATCGTCTTGCTATCTCGGTCCGATATAGGCCGGTGAGGAGGGGGCGAGGGGGGGAGGGGGCGGGATAGATATGGCCTCTGTGCCCTCTCCAGCCAAACAATTTCCTTATAGAGTTAGGACAGAATCATTTGGATCAGCGGAATCGGAATGCTTCCGCAGAAGGACAACAAGGTGGTGAACTTACATAACTACAGGCACAATGGCATAGACCAAATGAACATGAGTATCTTATTATATTCGTGTTTTGTTGTGACATCACCATTGAAAGTCTCAGATATCAAATCCATCCTGCTGGCAACAGTGCAACAATAGAAGGAAGAGCAAGTGCCATTATTACCAACGCAAGTTGGTATTTACAGAACCATGAATCCACACCTTGACTTTCTCCTTTTACTAAGAGTAGACACAAAGACGTGTTTGGAAATTCACGTCATTTGACATGAACTGAAAGGCAGCACCAGAGGACAACTTTATTTTTAGATTTATCTTCATTTCTTCAAGGTTGGTAACCCATGGTAGAAGCTGAGCTAGAGCAGCAAGTAGCTGCGACAGACAGGTTCAAATTTGGAAAGGGGGGAACGACTTAACGTTCATGAGGTTTTACTTTCACCAGAGCACCAGATATCAACAAGCAGAGTGATAAATGCAGCAGGAGCGGCTTGCGAGTATGTCAATGAAGGCAAGGAGGGGCATCAAGATAGGGCCAAATAATAAATGCAAAGGGAAAGAACATATGGATTGAGTGTGTTGTGACATAAGAGAGCTGGCTGGTGTGCATCTCTCCAATGTCAGTACTGTCCATTCCACATTATGACACGGAAAGGCAGCACCTTCTACCTAGGTATGAGTGGCCAACCCATACCACAATATGGATTTTCCAAGCGGAATGGATGAACCAGTTACCACTTTACGTATTTCATCTTTAATGCAAAGGGTTGAAGTACCTAATGCATGTACCCATAGGAAGGAAGCAAGCTCTGCCAAAGCACGATAACATGAGGACAAATCAAGCAAGAGAATTGCATAATAGAGAGCACAAGCGAATAAGGGCATGCAACCAATCATAAATTTAGATCCAACATGAAGGCTAAACTAAAAAGTCAATTTCACAACGGGGATAATCGCAAACATAGGGAATGCACCTCCCACTGGAAGGGCCTTGATTAGAGCAAAACATCCAACAGCCCTCAGATCAGCTCTCAAAGTTCTCATTGCCAACACTTTCCCTTCAACCTTTACTGTGAGGTAATGGTCTTGTGGAAGGTTGACCTGCAATTTTGGCTTTTTGGATTCTTGGTCATCACTGGGCCTAGATGTATTCTCCTCTCAACATAAACCGCCCAAAACAAATTTCTCGCAAGGACAAAAAGAAAACACAAGTCTGTAGTTCGTTAGCCAGCTTGGACCGGGAGATCAAACTTGAGGGAACAGCCAACCAAAGCCACTCGGATTGAAAACTATTTCCTCTCTCAGCAATGCACGCAGCCATTCCACAGCCTTTCTCGTCATTGCTCCTGAATTTCATACCTTAACCCCCATCAAGGCCTCCATACAGTCTTTGACGAGAGCCGAAGTGTCTTGGCCAACATCTCAAGACGGTGCTGATTGTCGTCATGGTGACCCTGACCCGAGTTCTCCAAGCACCCTCACGCAAACCTCGTCAAGGAAACGGAATGTGTTGAAAGAGGAGGAAGAGCCTGCTAAGATCTCTGTTCATACTTTGACACACATTCTCAACGCATCCAGTGACCCGGAGTGTTGAGTCGTGTTAGCTCGATGATGGTTCTCGTCATTGCAGGTTTGTAGATGGAAAGGAGAGGAAGGAGTGAGGTGAGGACGCGATGAAGCGGCATGCAATGCTGATCTGCGCTAGTGCTTGATTGGGCGTGGTGTGCTGTGCGGCTACTTGGATGCAGGCATTGGCTTGGCATAGCATAGCATTTCCGCAGTCCACATCTTGACAGTGACAGCCTCAGGCGATACCATACAAGTTAAAAGCTGCAGCTGCCTCCACCACCTCCACTTGGTTGCACCGTCAACATCTTTGGGCCGCCAGTCAACACCAACAACTTCAACCTCCAATCTTCATCCTCAAGTAGAACCAGCATTCATCATTGCTGGCAACCGCAATCATGGTACCCATTCCCCCTCCACTCCAATTATATACACCCCAAACTAACCTCTCCAGGCGCGAAATTCCGAAAAAGCGCAATCGATGCTCTTCCGTTTCCGCGAAGCCCAAGCAGCGGACCTCGGAATCATCGATGCAGGACGAACTCGTCGTCCGAAGATGATCACAGAAGTGACATCGATCCCCACCTGTGAAAAATGGCGCGGCCAGGTTCTCAAGGAAATCTCCCGAAAAGTTAGCAGGATCCAAGAATCTTCTCTGAGTGATTTCATGATTCGCGATTTGAATGATGAGATCAATAAGGCGATGCGGGAGAAGCATATGTGGGAGGTGCAGATTAGAAATCTGGGCGGGCCAAATTATATGAGGGGTGGTGGGAAAGTTTATGATGAGGAGGGCAGGGAGATTCCAGGAGGTGGGAAGGGATATAGGTATGTGTTGTGAATGTTGTTTGGGTAGAGGATCTGCTAAAGTTTGGCATAGATATTTTGGAAGAGCGAAAGAACTTCCTGGAGTAAAAGAGATGTTTGAAGCTGCCACTGCGAACCCCCGGGAAGATAAGCCTTTAGATGCGAGATCAGACCTGCGGAAACAGGTGGATGCATCGTATTACGGCTACAATCTGGACGAAGAAGATGGAACTCTCTTGGATTATGAACTATTGAAGGAGAAGGAAGCCTTCGAAAACCTGCTCGCTGGAAAGGATGGCCAGGCTCCTAAGGGTTGGGAACCGTTACCAGGCGATGCTGGAGATGGAGAGGCTTGGAGGCTGCCTACGCCCGACGAGGTGCAGGAGGAGCTTGTGGAGAGGAGACGACGCAGGTTGCTTGATAAATTGGGTTAATGTATGACCCTGATAGAGAAGTAAATTAAATTGATACCCAGTCTCGGAGAATTTTGTTTTATCCCTCAGAAACAGACGAGAAAAGTGGCAGTAGCTAGCTGTCTTCAATGTTCTTCTGCATTCACGTATGCACTTCTGTAATGGTCTTGGTAATGACTATGACTGACTACAGATCAATCACCTCAGTTCTTTTAGGGCCTTCGTTTTATTCATTTGGCTGCTCTACAGTGTATGATCTCCGAGGGTCAATGTGCATAACTATAAGAATGAAGGTAGCCATTATCAGCCTCTCACTCCAACGAGTATCTTCAAATGTTTACATCCTGCACACCACTTCAAATAAGCATATATGTCTATGCTCTGACAAATGAGTCTTGAGATCTTATAATCTGCTTGCTAGTACAGTATACACGAACTTTCAACCTTGACAAAACAAAAACAGTCCAACCCCCATCCATCTCGCCTAAATCCTCACCACCACCCTCAACCCAGACCCCTATCCAAACCCTTAAACACCCTTCCCATAGAACCTCAAAGTATCCGCGATAGCCTCATTGATTACATCACCCTTCGCCTGCGCCGCAGTCTTATACTTCTCAGAAACCAACGGCAAAGTGTTTGCCTGCAAGACATGGAAACTCTCAAAAACCGTGGTAATGAGAACTACGACCGCCGTACTTGTACCCGCTTTGTCAAACTCCGGTTTCTTGTCTTGGATGGACTTCATGACGGCTACTACGTTGGGGTGGAGGGTGTCGAGTTTGGTGAAAAGTGTGTTGGTTTGTTCATCTGTTATGGGGCCGGTGGTCTTTGTGGTTTCGGTGGCGGCTTGGAGGACGCCGGCGTTGATTGCGTCTTGGGCATTCTGAGGGTTGTATTAGTGGGAGAAGAGACAGTTGAGAGAGGAAAGAGATGTACCTTGACGGCGATTGTCTGCGCTAGGGTGCCGTAGTAACCATAGACGATTGGGACGAAGTCTACACATTTGGTGTTGATGCTGTCGAGATCATTGAAGTAGGCGTAGATCTCTCGTTTTGAGATGGCTGCCGCCGTGACGGTTGAGACGAGAAGGAGGAGGTTCTTGATGGCAACCATTTTGAGAGATGACTTGATGAGAGCTGGTGATGAATGAAGTGGTTTCTTGGGATTTTTCTGGTATGGCTCAGAGAATTGAAAGTTGAGGATGATGTTTGAACGAGATGTGAATGAAAGGTTCGAAATGGATCAATTATATATTCTTTTCCAAGTAGGACAAAATCAACATCGACAGTCTAGAACCTTGTTGTACACCAACCGCGAGACAGGTATACACAACTCCAAAAGCCGACAGGAATCTAGACACGCCATTTCAATTTGTCTGTACAATGCAGGTTCGACCACTCAAAACTTCATCACTCGGCATGTTCCGAGGAGCTCCTCTTCTGGTTTTCTTGATCTAAAAACAATAGTCAAGATCTCGCTAATACCGAGGCACCACCGCAGTGGTGATGGTGCCTCGTTACAGTTCCCCGCATATGGATGGCAATTGGGATGCCACGAGGTAGCGAGATGTTACATGGATGGGTTTCTCACCGCCAGCTTACGAGGTTATCTTGCACCTGTAAGGATTTTCATGGTTCTAGCCCTGATGATCTTCGTAAGGGTTGTCGCCATTTGTTGCTTGATGTGGAATTGTTGGAGAATCTGTACAGTCAACCTGCATCTCAGTTGAAGCTCGATGACGATTTACCTCGGAATTTGAGTCTGGCTATATTCTGAAAGTCTGATGCTCTAACATTTTTCAAGTACTATGCTGTGGAAGACTTGGAACGACAATTTGTACAAAGCCTTCAGTTCCCATTTTCAATCTTCAAAATCTAGCCAGTGAATCATATGGAATTGGTAGAATGTCTAGCACTGCCATAGGAAAATGTTATTTAAGTTAACAATGGAGGGCTAGACCTTGATAGGCGGCTAAGGAATAAGCGAGTGCTTTTATTTTTAAACCAACGTCTTCTTTGGTTTGTATGCAAAACCCCTCTGCTTTTGGTATCATGTTATTTTGCTCCCTATAGTATTAGCTGCCTTGAATACTTAAATATAAAAAAAGATAAGCAAGCATTAGTGATTTTACTATGTCCATAAACATAACCTAAGTAATGTTATACCTAATCAGCCATAGCTGATGAATCTGCAAAGTTCTTCTTGGAATTCTGATAAACTCTCACAACTATCACATATAAAAGTACTATTGAATCACACTTCTACACTGAGCATGGGCATGTTTTCAAATTTGAGTTTAGAGTCAGAGTCACTCTGAATAATAAGGGTCTTGACATAGACTGTGCCTGATTGGCTACTCGACTCATTGCCAAGACATCGTCGCAGGCGCTGCGGGCTGACTCCCCGTCGCATTGAGACCACCAGACGAAACCTAGAACTCCCATACGAAGGCTATACGACACCAACCACTGTCCGACGAACTACGCCCGACATTCTACTACTGTCCTGCCATCGCAGCAGAATCATGAACAATGTTCAACCTGTCCAGCCTTGTGCAAAAGGCTCAATCGTTCATTGATCCAACCCAAGCTCTGAATATCTCAGCATCCGATCGCAATCCCGCCAAATCCACCCTCTTCCGGCACCAGTTCCGACTGCCAGACTCCCAGACTCCTCTGCAAGAAATCACCGCCGAGCTGACGATATCACCGCCAGTAGCATACTCACCAAACGCCACACAGGGAGAGAAGGATAAGGATAGGGACCGGGGGTATCATTATGCGGGAAAGCTGCACTTGAGCGAGTCTTACCTGTGCTTCTCAACCCAACCGACCAGCTTCCTACAGACGGCGAGCACCAGCACCTCTTCTGGATTCACAGGACAAACACACGGAGCAGGGCCCGGTGGAAATGGCTTCACCCTGCCACTATGTGCTATCCGGCGTGTTGAGCGGCTACATAGCCAGAGCTATCAGGTATGCTGCTCGTTCGGCCCCTGTAGCTTTACCTGATGCTAACCAAAGTGTTGTAGTTTGCTCTAGCAATCACCACATGGAACGGGCTGAATGGAAATGGCTCGAACGAAGCTTCGAAAACACCAGTGTTAGTACAAAAGATCACAATACAGCTTGCGGGCACGCGGCCGGCTTGCGAACGGTTCTGTGATGGGCTAAAGAGGGGTCTGAAATCGGGGGTAGGGGAGGTCGCCAAGCTGAAAAGAGTGGTCTCCGAATGCTACTCGGAATACCTGCTTCAGGGCGATAGAAAGGAAGCCACTCCCCCAGACGCAGGACTCGGTATGCTTTTTCGCTATCCGGGTGACGCAAAGAAGTTACGGGATAGAAGTAAGATGAGGCTTTGGGGAGAATACCTGCGAGATTATGGGCGCAATGTAACTTTGATCCGACAGCCTACTTTCCACAAGCTCATTCGAGTTGGTCTGCCAAATCGGCTGCGAGGAGAAATATGGGAACAAACCTCCGGATCATTATTCCTACGCTTGGAGAACCCTCTCCTTTACCCAGACACTTTGAAGAAGTTTGAGGGCCGTGATTCTCTTGCAATTGATGAAATTGAGAAGGATCTCAACCGAAGTCTTCCTGAATATCCCGGCTTCCAAAGCGAGGAAGGTATTGGCCGATTACGAAGAGTCCTCACAGCGTACAGCTGGACGAACGAGGAAGTCGGCTACTGCCAAGCTATGAACATTGTGGTTGCTGCGTTACTCATATACATGTCTGAAGCCCAGGCGTTTTTCTTACTATCAACACTATGCGATAGATTACTTCCCGGGTACTATTCAACAACTATGTACGGCACATTGCTCGACCAACGCGTTTTTGAATCCCTGGTCGAGAAGACAATGCCAATTCTCTGGGACCACTTAATGAAGCATGATGTTCAACTTTCTGTCGTTTCTCTGCCCTGGTTCCTGTCGCTGTACATTAACTCCATGCCTCTTGTCTTTGCATTTCGCGTTCTAGATGTTTTCTTTTTAGAAGGTCCCAAGGTCTTGTTCCAGGTTGGTTTGGCTATTCTACGCATCAACGGAGAGGAACTGTTAGATGCTTCTGACGATGGGGCGTTCATCTCGGTCTTAAAGTCGTACTTTTCCAAACTCGACGAATCAGCACACCCTAAATCAGAAAATGCCAAATTGCGAGCAGTGACTCGCTTTCAAGAATTGATGGTAGTCGCATTCAAGGAGTTTTCGGGCATCACACAGAGCAGCATTACCGAGCAACGAAATAAGCATAAGGACAGCGTCTTGAACAGTATAGAAAGTTTTGCCAAGCGAACCTCGATACGAAATCTTGGGCCAGACAGCAAACGCTTAAGCGTTGATGAACTTGGAGCGTTGTACGACCGTTTTTTCGGTGTTCTGTATGAGCGTCAAATGCGAAGCCAGATGATGCTTGAAGAGGCAGAACGAAAGGCGAAGGCGAGTAAGGCCAGAGCTATGGAAATAGTCCAAGGATTATCTGAGAATCAGATCATCGAGAAAGGGCGAGTTGGCTTAGGGCCTAGTCCTACATTGATGGATTATGACGGATTCAGGGAATTTCTTTCTGGCATGGCGAAATGGGCAATCACGGATTCTCCATCACCGTCTGAGAAGGACGGCCCAGACACCCCCAAGCACTCGTATTTTGGTAACAGCATAAAGCGAAGAGATATTTCTTTATCTCCTTGGGGTTATGGAAATCCAGAACCGGCCGATCACGAATTCATGCAGCGACTTTTCCGCCGCTGGGATGTCGACTGCAATTCGGCACTTACACTGCAGAACGTCGTTACAGGGCTCGCGCAAATCAAAGGAAAAGGTGACATCATGGGTAGCATTACATACTTCTTTGAGCTTTATGATGACGACGGAGATGGCAAGGTTGATCGAGAAGGAATTCTCCGGATATCAGAGGCACTCCTCTTTCTGTCACGTCGAGGATTAGAAGGATCATTGACACCGTCAAGTTCAATGGTAGGTATGAGTGAATACGAGGCCGGGAATGGTGGTCAACCAAATGAACTCCAAGGAAATACCAACGAACGATTTTTAAGCAGCGTTAGTGCTTTCATCAGACGCTGCTTTGAGTATGCAGACCCAGACCATCCGCAAAATAAAGAAGAGGAAGGAAAGTCTAGCGCCAATGAAGATGCTGACGATGCCGCATTTGGAATTGGCGAGGATAGTGATGAAGAAGCAGAAGATTTGCTTGACCTGGGTCCCACGTCGCCTAAGTCTCCTAAACGAGGAAAGAAGCCCATTAGTCTTGGGATTGTGTCACCCTCACCACAGAAGTCAGTGAACAGAGCAGCTGGACGAAGTGCCTCTGTAGCCCAGGCCGAGGCTGCGAATGCAGCTCTTGATCCATCAAAACCACTTCACATCACTTTGCCGACATTCCGCATGGTTGTATTAGCAGACGAGATCCTGGAACAATTCTTCGAATCCTCGTTCCCAGCCTCTTTCCGCCTCTCGGATAAAATGGCTGCTTCCGGTCCAGCCGCCCAAAACTCTTCGCTCACAACCTTCTCCAACATGGGATTCGGTCGTGCCGCTGCCGCCGTTGTCCCAGTCGGTGTTGGTGGAAGCACAGCAGGCGTTGTACCTCCAGGAAAAGGCCTACGTGGTGTACTCGATAACATCGTTACAGATGGCATGCGTGTCGCAGCCGAGGTCAAACGACGCATGGACGAGGCACAAAAGGAAATGGAGAAGAACGCAGTCCACAAACCTGCCCCTGTCGATGAAGAAGAAGAGGAGGAAGTCGTCATCGGACCTCGTGTGTCTGACGCTGACGCCGAGAGGAGAAGTGTAAGATCCGAGGATAGAGATATATTGGAGGGTGCAGATGCGGAGGTCATAAGTATTAGAGGCGCCGAGGGGGTGACCAATGTCAAGGGCTCCTCACTTGCACCAGCTGATGACGCTGGTCGTCGAGTGAGGAGTGTTAGTGGTGCATCCACGCAGAGTAAGGTTGTGGAATTTGAACGATGACCTTTTGAGCGATTGTTTTTTGCATTGTTTTTCTCTCTGCCTAGACGAGAATCAAAGGGGGGGTCTATGGAAGGAACGGATTTCCTTTTCTTTTTTTGTTGACTCACATTGTATTTTACGGTTGTTGATCATGTCGCTTTGTTTTGTTCGTTTCTTGATTTTGATAAGGGCGATGGGAGAGGGATGGTGCTTTGGGAGTTTCAGTTGAATGGTGGGCGTCAGTTTGGGTTCTTTGGCTACCTTTTAGTGTGGTGGTTTGTGGGTTGTGTGTGGATTTGTGGGTGTAGAATCATAGCAATGGAAGATACTATTGCATTGTGTCGAAGGGGATTTTCCTGGTCTTTCTATGAACTTCTTGTATGTAATTTGAAACTTGTTTGAGATCATCTGTTAGGACTAGTCTCCTTCTTAGTCTTCTGGAAAGCTTGTGTGGTAACTTGAGTAGATCGCTAACCGAGTATGAAGTGTGCTGGAGTAATGGAATAGGATTGTTCACAAGTCCGTTCTCCAGGGTTCTTGGGAACGGACTCACCTGGATGATGAGATTCAGATCTTTTTGTTGAAGAGATATGTCGATATCTAGGAGAGGAAAGTTGACATCTGTAAATTGTAGCATAAAATTCGATTGTGATTCTGGCTAAAGGTATGGAAGTGTAACCTTACGAGTAAAGATACCTGGTCATTACTCCGTACACACTATCAGAAGTCATTCTACCAAAGGTCTGGCACAAGTCCTATTTAACCTAGCTTAATAAGTTGTGCTAAGTAACTATTGTATTAAATCATTTGGATGATTATTTTAGTTGTACGGGCCTCTGAGAATAAATATTATTATTTTGATATAGATGCGTTTGGAGTAATGACCGTATCTCTTACCTTCGATCGGATTTTCGTAAGATACAACATGATGGGCGGGTCTACGATATGAGTTGATCAAAGAGAGTTGGATATATCTCAATTTCGCGACGGAATTATCGAGTTTGGGTTCTCTGGATTGCATGATTTGCTTCTAGTACATGTTGATGTATAGGTTCGGATCTTGTTTATTTTGAGATATCTTAGCTTGTAAAGTGTGTGTATGTCTCATCGCCCTTGCTCTGCAGTACTTTGATTGTGGGTGCTGTGAGTCTGGATATCATTCAATTAGCTTTAGATAGTTGTGAAATTTAAGATAAATGATAGGTACCCGTTCTTATTGGTAGAGATTAAAGATCGGCGTTCCATCAGGATGTTATGTTAGATATAAGGAGGTTCTTACAACGTTGAACATTAACATTTATAGAAATGGTACTAACTTACTTGCTTTCCTTGATAATCCTAGCAAGTATTCCACTTCTAGATCTCATCATGTAAGTCCATTCAGCTAAGTGTATCTAAAGAAATGGAGATTTTTTTGATGTTTTTGCTAGAGGGACTTGTACTCAACTTTAAAGTAAAGCCTCCCATTTAGAGGCGTTGTTAATTTGCCAGCGGTTGTATGTGGATTATGACGTTATTAATGTAGCTGCAAGAGTATGCAGCGGGTTCAACTTGCTACAAGAGTAATACTACAGATTCTCATATGGGAGGGGGGTTTTTTTCAACGAAGGGCACACTGGATTCGGAGGCTGAAAGAATTATGCAACTTTTTTCTGATTGTCCTTAAGTCTTTCTATGATGGTTTCTTTGAAAGGGCCAGCCCATTTCTACTTCTTAGTCCTTGCAGCCACGGTGCTAGCTACCACCGAACCCGCGAGGGATTGTCTTCATGATGTTTGTGCCAATATGTTGTCGAATGCTGTGGCGCTGACTCCAAGACCCAATATCAAACTCTTCTGCAACTACTTTCTCCCCCATTTTCCTTTGCCCAGGCCAGTGCTAATTACCTACCAATTCTCCATAGCCTCCAACCTTAGCTCTTGTCGCCGCAACCCAGTGTGGATGATTTGGATCCTCTCACAATTCTCCAGGGTCTTGAAAGACTGCTTATATATATCGCTAAGGCGTTCAAATCCTTCTTGGGCCGTTTCAGTGGTATGTTCGGTGAGAATGGTGATGTTCCTAAGTTTCGGTAGTACCCTATCCTCATCTTCGCTCCCTGAGTGCACCTCATATAAGAAGGACCAAAGTGTATGAAGATCTGTAAACAACTCGTTCATAACCAGAACAAGCTTCTCCAAAGTATGAGGGAGAAATTGAGTAATTTTTGGAAGTCCGTGGTCGATTATTTTCAAGCGGTCAAATACACTATCGAAGTCCAATTTCAAACACTTTAGCTTTCTGAACGAGTGCATCGATTGGACGAAATTGTCTCCTATATTTTCGGCGTTGAAATCCATGAAATGAAGCTCCTCGAGAGTCTCACTCAGGATCTCGATCGCTTTTAAGGCTCACGTGGGTTCAAGTCCACTCATGGAGTAGCAGAACTTAAGCGTCTTCAGTCGAGGAAATTGGCCCAGTACGTGACGGAGTACAGGTACCGTGGTATCAATACCCATCACAGCAATTGTCTCCAGGCACTCTGCAGTTCTCTCGTAGCTTAGCCGATCAGATGGATACCAAGTGGTAAAATTGAAATCGCAACTTGGTGGCACATCAGGCTTGGTGGTTATAACATATCTCCGCAGACTTTTGATGGTCAAGTATGGCTCCACCTCAGACGTGGTGAGATAATAAACTCTTCCTGTCACTCACTGCTCTGTTTTTAGTTGCTACTAACGTGCTCAATTTCGAGAGACCGGCTGTTGGATAACTGGGGTCGTTGGCTCTATCGATGACAACATCTAACAATTGTTTTCTCCGCAATTCAACATCTGGATGATTATGGGGAAAGTGTCCGCCTCCCAGATCCAGCTGAACGTTAATGAGGTTCGGGAGCAACGCGAGTAAGAACGCGATCGATAATCTTGCCTCGCAGCCGTTCAAATACTACATGAGGAGGACCTCATGAAAGTCCGAAGGATCTAGAGAGGCATCTTTAATGTAAGGAGAGCTCTGGAGAAGGGATAGTAGAGTCAAGGTCGACCTAACTCGTTTGATATAGAAACTGCGGACCGCAAAGACTCCACGGGTCCCCCGTTCTGCGAGTTTTGCTGAAGTGATGTAACGAGCGATCCGTGGCTCTTCAGAAATTCGCTGGATCAGGTGTAGTGGTGAATAAATGAGATTGGCCGCACCGCCATCCTCTAAGAACTGATTCGTAGATGCGTCGTAATATTCTTGAGCCGGCCAGTTGAATTGAAAATTGCGATATCGCTTTTTTAAGTTGATTGTGTTTCGCGCGAAACCTTTCAGCGACTTCTTGAATTCTTTTGCAAGTCAAAGTGAAGCCTTCAAACCCCTCTGGCATGGTGTGCTCCGCAATGAATCCAAGGACTTCATTTGGACAGTCCAACAATTCCATCTTGGCAGCTGTAAGTGAATATATTCCGACAACAGCTTGCGAAGAGTGGAAGATGGATTTAAATAAAGTTCTTTTGATTCGATGATGAAAGCGAATTTGATTGTACCACCGTGTCGGAAGACTGAATTGAGACTTTGAATTGAGCCTTTGAATGGACTATGAATGGACTCCGAAGGATCGACAGCTTGTACGAAAAGGCGTCGCATGCGATTTGTCTAGGGTTGTGTCAAAAGATTGAGATCGGTTGAGGGTAAACTCGTAATCGAGATATCTTTACAACCTCGACTTTGAATGGACTTCGAAGGATGGACGACCTGCGCAAAAAGGCGTCGCATGCGATTTGTCTAGGGTCATGTCAAAAGATTGATCTCGGTTGAGGGTAAAATCATGATCGAGATATCTTTACACCCTCGTGTAATCTAGGAACGACTTGCAAGTCCGATAGAGCTTGAGTCTATTATCCGTCGAGGAAAAGTATGGAGCTCAAGTTGAGGTAAGATCGCTAGGGAGAGCCTCTATAAGCTAGATAAGCGCCTGTGCTACCTGATATACTTGCCTAATTAAGACATTATTCACTCTTCGCCTGATCGCTTCACCTGGTGAAAAATGTGAAGAGCACAAAACACTCAAACAAAGCAGAACTGAAAGGATATATCTCAGCAGCGAAAGGGTCTAAGCCCACCCGCTCTCCATATCCACTCCTTCTAGATCATCCTAACTAATTTTCAGACCTGCTTTCCCTTCCCCCTAAATTGTAGAGCCCTCCGCTTTACCAAACTGAACTAGTATCTTATTTCACAGCGGTCTTCATCACAAAGCATTGCAAAACCCAACAATTTACCTCCCAATATCGATCTCTCATCAGCAATACCATTTAAATTAAGTAAGCAGCTACAAGTACAATCTCAATCACAAAGCTAATATCATTTACATCCTGTTTAAGCTCTTCTTCAGCTCATCATCTCAACCCTCCCTATCATCACTTCCTACTTCTCACATATCTTCAGGACTTGGCATGTAAGGAACTACATAATACACACTTTAGAACTTTGTAAAAATATGAAGCGCGTTGGACCCAAGGCCAGGACTTGAAGTCTGAAGAGCGAGTGGGTTGATGGATCGGGGGACTGGTAGGGAAGAAATTGGTAATATACTGTACATTTTAAAAAAATCCTTTTACAACAGTTACTCCGTGTATGTACTTTACAATATCCCCTCCAGGGCTTGGGAGGTGATACTGTAGTAGCTTTCCCACAATGAGAATCACAGTACCACAGTACCACAGTACCACAGTCCACGAACCTACTTCTTAATAGATCTTACCAACACAAAAGCACACCAACAACTTCTACCCCCCAACCACACACAAACAGAAACACAAAACTCAGGAATTTCCTTGCACTAAAAGGTAAAGGGGTATGTCTCAGCGAAAGAAAAAGTAAGGTAATGTACATCAACCCCACCCCTTCTCATCGAAGGGGTTTGTTTCTTATAAAAAAACAATCTCCGCGTAAACCCTTTCAAACGCCCTCCTTTCTAAAATAAACAGCGAGAATGTCCCCATCCATGCAAAGAACTATGATCCCTTCCCCCGAATCAACAGAAAAAAATATGCATATATGCCAACATATAGTCGATCATGATCAAACTTTCCTACGCCTCAAACGCCCCCGACTTTTTCGGTTGGAATGTCCTATTTCCTCGCCCTGGTCGTAGATCATGAAGGGTTTTCTGTCCGCGGCTCTTTTTTCTTCTTTTGCATTCGCTTTTCGCTGTTCTATGGATCGAGAATCGACGTGAGGGGTTTCTCATCATCTGGCGTTGAATAGTGTTCTCCATTGTTTGGAGAATGGGTCGGCTTCCTTTGCGCAGTCTCGTCCTTGTTGGTCGCAGCCTGCAAATCGGATTACGAAATCGCCATCTTTGTAAGCGCCAGATTCCACATCGTAGTGATCTTTCGCGTATGCGTTCAGGATTCGTTGGGGGACGAGGACGAGTTTGGAGAGGATGGTTGGATGCCATTGGACGATGTGCTCCTATTTTAGATCAGTACGTGCGAAAGCGGAAATAGCCATTGAACTCACCAAAGCATGTGTATCTGCCCTCTGGAAATTGTAGGAGCGGTACAATGGGTCAAACCAAGTATCCAAGAAGAATTTACTCCATTCGCCCCTTTTCACAATGAAACTTCCTTGCGCCAACCCCTCCTTGTCTTGGGTGAGGACCAATTCCACATTTTCTCCCTTCAGATGTGGCCAGGTCTTGATAACACTGTCGGGAGGTACAATTGGCTGGTCCTTGATCGTTAATGATTCAATGCGCTTCTTGTCCATTATATGCGTCTCGACTGTGAGCTCCGGGTTCATGATGAAGGAGTTCTGATCCAGATACCACACGTATGTGCTGAATGGGAATTTGGTAAAGGCATGTCGAGCAGCAGGTACTCGTGCCCATGAAGGCGGAGCCCCGTTGAGGTCATAATCTTTGACTTTGGGGAAGAAAGTTGCGTAGCCTATACAAACGTTATACAGTCAGCCCAATTGCAAGAATTACACCTGCTGTCTCCCTTCGCAGCACATCTCCAAGCTTACCATGTTTCCTGGCATACTCTATCCTGTTCTCCTTCACATTCTTGATATACTCCTTGCTGTAACTCTCCTCATCCAGCACCGTCAAAATCACCACCGGCGGCGTCCCAGAGGGGATATGCTCTCTCCCTGTGACGGCGGAGAGGATCCAAATGATGATGCCCACCGCCGCAGCAAAAGCCACTACCGTCTGCACTCGTTTCCTGCGAAAGGAGGGGATTTTGGAGGAGCGCGGCACATATGGTTGGGGGTTCGAGGATTTCCTCGAGGGCATCGCGAGGTGCATCTTCTTGGGGCGGTTCAATGGCCTTTCGCTTTCTGGCGCCACCGAGGCCGTCGAAGGATGCGAATCGAGGACCGGCGATGGGGAGAGCGAGCGACGCGATTGGGGGTCGAAGGGCTTGGAGGAGATCGGTAGTGCTGTCGCTGTCCTCGGTCGCGTGGGTACTCAGGGTACGGAGTACTCTCTCTCACCAGACCAGAGCGGTGCTGGGCTAGGATATGCTAAGATCTACTGCTGCACTTGTAAGGCGCTACAGTATGCTGACTAGACTGGATTGCCGGACATTCGCATCCAAATTCCTCGCCGACGTTCACTGACGCTCAGAGATTCCAAGAACGATTGTCCTGCGACAGCGTAAATAAAGATTAGTACTGTAGGGGGGAAAAGTGCTGTACGTCGGAGATGTCTACGGGTAAATTTGACAGTTGCTGCTCCCAAAACACCATCTTGCCGTCCACCAATGACATCTCGGGTAAAAGCTTCTCTTAAACTGCCGTCGGACTAACTTTCTTCCTAGCATCAATATTACAGTGCCTGGCTTAGGGTGTGTTTGGCTCGGAGTGTACACTCCGAGTCCACCATACAAATTAGAGTTTTATACTCGATACGAGTTAGTCGTATCCTAACTCGTATCGAGTTCTAATTCTATTTAGCTCGTATATTAAATTAGAAGCTTTTACTACTCTAAATATAGTAATCTAGCTTCTTTATAAGTATACTATATTAAATAGTAATATAGCTTTTCTATATTTTAATAAGTATACTACTTAACTCGCTTATCCTACTCTATATATAACTACTACTATATACTACTACTTTATATATAACTTGTATTAATTATAAAATCCCTTTTTTAGAAGTAATATACTTATATAAGAAAGGCTAAATTAGTAGTAATTTTAACCCTTACTAGCGTATATTCGTTATCTTTATACTATAAAAACTACTTCGCTAAACTACTATAATATATATCTAAAACTAGTAGTTTCGTTTAAATAAAGGAGCTAATTAGTAGTAATCTACGTCGAATTTAAAGGAATTTATATATAACCTAGGAAGTATTTAATATTCTTAAAGGTTTACTAATTCAAAAAACTAGTTTAGTATTTACTTAATATACTATAATATAAGAATAATTAAGTACATTCCTATATATAGTTATAAGTAATCTAAGTATACTAAAGCTAGCCGAGCGATTTTAAAAGTTATAGTTATATATTCTCTTTAATTATATAATTATATTAATTACTTAATTAAAAGTTCTTAGATAATCTAGTATTATTTCTATAAAATTATTTAATATCTTTTATAGCTAGACTTTTATAATAAATACGTTATTACTTTATTTATAAATACTTTACTATCTTCGAGAATATTATTTAACTATAAATATAACCTTGAGTTTAATAGGTATCTAGGAGTAATTAATAGTATATATATTATACTTTCGCTTCTTTATAATAAACGAGCTCTTTAGAGAGATAAGAATAAAACCCTTTTTTAAAATATACTAGTAGCTTATACTTTTAATATAAAATTTATAAACGTACTCCCTAGCTAGGAGAGTAGCGCTTTTAACTTAACTTTATAGATTAATATAATACGTTAAGGAGCGCTTATAATACCGGAAGGTTATTATATATTAGAAGACACTAGGTTTACTAGTTATAATACCTACCTTATTCCCTATTCTAAGGTATAATACTATCTAAAGGAATAGGAATAAGCTAGAAAAGAGAGATATAGAGAACCTAGGAATACTAAAGAGCTCTTCAATCTACGTTATACTTAGTTATATAATATTATAAAGCGGGTTTTTAACGTTCTTAAAAAGAAGTTTCCGATCCTAATAACTCCTTATACCTTTAAAATTAAGGCTTAGGTTGAACTTATCCCTATATTTTATATCTTATATAATATCCTATCTTTAATTATAGATATTAGTTTTTCTAATATTAGTAAAGATATTAACTAATTAGAGGTATAGGATTAAAAGAGTAGTAGTATATAAGAGTATAAGATTAGAAAGGCGGAGATAAAGAGAGTTAATAAGTAAAGGAATAAAATTACTATAGATAAGTTATATAGAATAACTATATAAAGAAAAAAGTAATATAATCTATCTAAATCTATAAAATAAATTCAAGTAATTTAAGTATTCTATAATAATTCTAAGTAATAATATAAAAATACTAAAAAGTAACAATTATACTATAAAATAAAAAGGGACTAAAACAAGTAATAAAGTAAATAAGATAACTAACGTTATAAAATAATACTATAACTATAACTTATTATCCTTAGTATCTTTAGTACTAACTATAATACTTATTATACCTTTAATTATATCCTCTAGCTTCTTTCGAATACTATCTAGGTACCTTTCTATAACAATATATTTAGTCGAATTAGTCGAAAACTTATTTATAAAAGACTTATTCTCTAATAGAACGAATATTATTTACTAGATTTATAGTTATTAGTGATTAGTAATAATTACTAGGAACTTAGTAGTAAGGTAGGCTTTTATTATAAATAAACGAATTAATATTAAAATACTTAAATCTATAATTCAATTAGTCTTCTAGATAGCGATTTATACTTAACCTATAATATTAGAATTAACGTTTTCTTTTAGTATAAGTTAGTTTCTTAAGTGCTAAAAGTAATAGTAATTTATTTAAGAGTAAATCTAATATTTATAAGCGATTTCTAGTCTTTTAGTATACTTTTTATATATTTTATAGCCTTATAACGTTTAATTAGCTAGGTAATTAAGTGTCACGAATCACGTGTACACGTGATACATGTCATAATAGGAGGCGCAACCCTCGACAGAGCACACCCAGGTTTCTTATAATAGGGATCGCTTAGAGTAGCTAAGCGATCCAAGGATTTCCATTGGTTACTGTCACGTGATGGACCGGGATAGATCCCGAAGGGATCTGATGGATCCAGGAAAGGACGAAGGTTCTACATAAGACTGGCACGTCTGCCATTAGATAGGAGCTTCGTGCTCAACTTAGTTTAGCAATCTAGTTGTTAAGTTATTACTTCTTTGTTAACAAGTGACGAGTTTACCTCCGAGTAAACAACCCGGCGCATCTGTACTTCTTACCCGCATACCAACCGTCGAAACGATTACCTTTGTCAGATAGTTTGAGTTTCGTCACATTAAACTCTTAAGACAGTTATTATTCTCATTCTTAGTTTCTCTAGTATTCTTATTATCACTAGCTAGCTAGGTTTATATAAGCTCCTATATATACTAGGACCTCGAGTTTCTATTACTACTATTATTTCTACTACTACTAGGTATATAAATATACTTAATTATTATAAGGTAACCTTTATATATCTCTAGTATGTTATTAAACTAGATAAATAAAGTTATTTTCTATAAATAAGCCTTAGGTATACCCTATAATACTAATATTAGAATAGTAAAGCTAAAATAGTAGGTACTTATACTTAAATAAGCTTCCTAGATCTAATTCTTAGTAGTATAAATCTTATTATCTTTATTTTACCTAAATCTTAAAGTATTTCTAATATTAAGTATAATCTTATATTATTCCTTTAAATAAGTAAACTTTACATAATACGCCTTATTATCTTTTTTAGAATCTTTAAATAGTTTAGTATATTCTTTTTATACTTTACTCTTAAAGCTATTTTCGCTAATTTTACTAGCTCTCTTAAAAATCTAAAGCTTATTAAGAAGTAAACTAATCTCTTCTTTTTATTTAGGTAACTAGAGTAGTATAACGAATATCTAGCTTCTATTTAGTAGGTAAGGTATAAGTAGTACTAGAGTGTAACGAATACTCAAACTGGCTAACTAAACTTGGCTGGGTGTTCGCTGGTTGGTATGCTATGATAAGAAGAAGACTATCGGGTTGTTCACTTGGAAGTGAACTCGTTACTTGTATCAAAGATGTCAAACTAATATGATAAGATTGATAACTAAGTTGAGCACGAAGCTCCTATCTAATGGCAGACGTGCCAGTCTTATATAGAACCTTCGTGTTCCTGAAGTCGACAATGTCGACTGTTGACATAGTCGATAATCGACTTCTCGACCAGGCGAGAAGTCGACCTGCATATATCACGTGACTTATAAGAAATCCCTGGATCGCTTAACCAACCTAAGCGATCCCTTTTTGCTATAAGAGCCATGATGTGTTTGTCCTGTTAGAACCCCGTCTGGACTAACTCCTCACGTGCTAGCACGTGATTTGTGACATAGAGGTAGATAGATTTAGTTAAGTTATAACTTACTTAGATATATTAAGCTAGAAAAAGTAGTATAAATAGTAGTATAAATAGTAGTAAAAGTAGTAGAAAAAGTAGTACAATAAAAGTAGTAGAATTAATAATTAATTATAGGTAGTAATACCGATATAAGTTATTTATATATAAAATAGTAGTTATTATAAGAATAATACTATTATTTTAAGATTAAATTAATTCTAAATACTATATATAATTTTCCTTAATTAAAACTCTATTTAATTCGAATATATTATAAGTAGTAGTATTATTATATTTAAGTACTAGTTATATAGTATAGTATAGTATAATACTACTATTTTAGAGCCTAATACCTATAATTACCTTCTTAAGTACTAAGTATAATAATAAAGCTTAATTCGAGCTAAATAAAATTCGAATCGAATATATCATCAAGTATATACTCAATAAGTGAATAGAGTTTTCGTAAGTTTTATCTATTTTAGGGTACGCTACCGAATAGAGTGGAGTCTACTAATCTAAGCTAAATACACCCTTACTAACTAGGTTAGGCACGATCTTATATACATTGTCTTTGCACGAAGCGAGACAGGGGTTGATTGGCTCTCAGCGTTCCCGGAATGGACCCGAAAAAAACTGGTCAGGTGATCGGGACTTTTGGTGGGCACGCGTGGCACGAAAGAACAGCCCGCATCGAGCGCAAATCGTGTCTAAATTGTTTAGTACTTTATATTAGGTTGTATTAGTACCTATATTAAAATCCTGCCTTTTTATCCCGTTGTTTACTTATGATTAGATTTAAAAGTGGTATTTAATAGCGATTTGCGGTTACGACTATAGATTTTGGTGGGGTTTTTGCTGCCTTACCGATGCAAGGCACCAACTTTTCGACTTAGCTAGACGGAGGGTTAAAACTCCGGGTCAGGTGACTAGCCTGTCTACCTACTCTAATTAGTATATAAGACTCTAGATAGCCTATATTCCCTAGCCCTTCTACCCCCTGAGCCCCCCCATAGAAAAAGGACTATAAAAAGAGAATGTTTTCAGATATAGTCCTTATAACTAATTAAAAGTTTAATTAATCTTTTATATATAATTAAAGTTTTATTAGTACTATATCTTAGTAGAATACTATTTAACTAATATATAATATTAACCTTTTAACCTTTAAATATTAGATATTAAAGAATTTAATATTATTTAATTAAACTATATTTATTTAATAATAGTTTATAAGTAATTTAATACTAATATAGCTTTAAGACTTTATATGGCTCTAAATATATAGTATATACTTATTTAAACTTATATTTATTCTTAGTTTTATAACTTTAAACCCTTTATAATATAAAACTTAGTATATATAATAGTAATAGTATAGAATTAACTTTAAGTAATATATAATAATATAATAAATAAAAGTATTCTACTTCTAAAAGAACTAGGTAATTACTAACTTAATAAAACTTAATTGTTATTAAAGTTAACTTAAATTAAATTAGAATTTAAAAGTAAGTAGATTATTATAATTAACTAATTTAAGCCTAATAATGATTTAAATATTTAAATACTATCTAAGTAATATATTATTATTAATATATAGTTACTTATAAACTTACTTTATAAGACTTTAATTAAAAGATACTTAATAATATCTTTATTTAAAAATATATAATAAAGTCTTAATTAAAAGATATAACTTATAATAAGATCTTAATTAAATAATACTTAATAACCCTTAATTAAAAGATAATTAACAAGATCTTAATTAAGAAAACTTTATAAGACCCTAATTAAAAGATATATAATAAGTGTGACGGTTCTGACCGTCACGTGCCATTCATATCACGTGGCTTCCTTAGCGAACCACATTGTATTTAGACTCAAGCTCTCTCGAGCTCTCCTCTTCTCCTCAGCTTAGAATCTTCGAATAGACAGTTCTACGATTCCATAACCTACACCTTGGACGCTCCTTGAGCAACACATCGTACGTATCGTCACAATAAGGCTTTAATTAAAAGACACTTTATAAGATCTTAGTTAAAGGATACTTAATAATATCTTTATTAAAGAATACTTAATAAGACCTTAATTAAAAGATATTTAATAAGCCCTTAATTAAAAGATATATAATAAGGTTTTAATTAAAAGATACTTAATAAGGTACTAATTAAACAATAATTGATGAGGTCCTAATTAAAAACCACTTAATAAGGTAGAGACAGGCGGTAATGCGAGCTTGCGAGCATCGACTGACTTGCATCAAATGCCCGCCTGTTCTCCATCGAGTCTCGTGTTTTTAAGGGGTCCAAAAATTCAACATTAATCAATCTTGTCCTCGTCTTCGCCAAGTGTAACTTGAAAATCTCGACTGTACTATCCTCCGTTGCTGTCGACTCCAAGGCTGCTCCTCCAGTCAAGAGCAAGAGAGGAAGTGAAGATACACCTATTAGCAAGTCAATGTGAGTGGTTCTCCCTGATCACTTACACTATGTCATTGTCGGACATAGATCGCTTGTAGAGGGTTTACAGATAGATTTTCTAGGAATCAAGGATTGGTTGATTGCTGCCGCGAATAGTATCTACTATCTACTGTCAATTGTGCTCTTGTTGTCGAATTCTCTACGTACTAAACTGCCCACTTTTGGTGTGTCCTAGACCGTAGAATGACCTTGAATGTTTGTCGTCGTTTGTTCTTTTACGGTCGATTCTACTATATCCCTTCACTAATATTCTAGTAAGTACTCGAAGACGTTTCTCCCTAAAGTACTAAAGTAGTTAATTAGCGCCAGTCTTTGGAATTCTCGCGCGGAGATCCCGAGCACCCCCCGGCCTGGAGCTGGACAAGAATGACACAACATATCCCGAGATTCACGTTTTACGAAAGAGAGGATTTAAAGTATAGACGTCTTACTTGATCTGATGATCTGCTGCTGACTGCATTTCAAGTCACACTAATACCTGACTAAAAATCATGCTTGGGTGTGTTCGTGATCATGATGGAATCTTTTCAGGGGCTTGTCTTGCTCGCCTGCTCTCCATGGGGTTGGGGTTAGAGTTTAAAGTATAACCTCAATCAACTGCTAGACGGGGAAAGCTTGTCTTTCCCATATTCTCGGTCTGAACTTTACTTAGAGATTGTTATGAAATACCTTAAATTGAACGCAAGATATGATTGTGCATTTCTCGACTGTTCTCTGCATGTCTTGATTGTATGTTTACCACTTATAAGACTGGATGATTTGTCCCATACTACATATATCCCGAATTCTCATCAATACCTGTTTATTTCCCTCTTTAGATACGACCATCACCTCTGTTCCTTCGCCTACGTTCACACGTTCAACCTCAAATCAACCTCAAATCCATCAAGCTCTTCTTGGTCCTTCCAAAGGCAAGGTTGAGAAAGCTTCTTTACCTTGGCCAAAAATATATTACCGTCGTCATGGACGACAATCGTTTGACGCTGAGTATTGACGACCTACTGGACCTGCAGTGTGAAGTTCCGCTGGATTATGGATGCCAATTCATGGTCCAATATGAAGTACAGGGGATTTGAATCTGCCCCTTCCATCCAACTAAGCAACTGCTTCTGGGCAGTTCGTCTAGTTTTGTTGGATCAACTACCAAGTAATGACCTTCCGTCGTGTTATCTCCTCATTCGAAAAGGGAGAAATCCTTTGTTGACATGTCAAAATAGCCTGTCGATCCGCGATGTCTTTTTCGAAGCCCATCCCATAGATTCTTGCCCATCCGGGAATCACTCCATCCTCGCCAATGAAATCCTCTTCAACCTCCATAGCCCACTAAAACACAACAATCAGTTTCTTTCCTCAAAACATCCGAGTGCCTCATTCAAAATAGCAAACATAAACCCTTACCTGACCCATCTTCCCCGCAAAAATCGAATCCCATACCCCCTCTCTCCGCGAATACCCAAGCAGCAGCGAAATACACTTCCTCCTAACCACAGGATTCCGACACTTATGACTAATAATATATAATGGAATAACGACAATCGAATCAAACGAGAACTTCGGGTCCGGCGGCCACTTCTCACCCGGCTCCATCGCCCTCAGAATATCCTCGCAGTAATCCACCGTCTCGCGGTACGAATCGGTGAACTGATCATACTCCATCTCATCATCACAACAAAGAATATACGTCCCATGATGACCCGTCCTCGCAAAGACCACCAGCGTCTTCGCGTAGATCACTCGTTCGGGACTTTCTTTCTCACAAACTTTTTGATACAATGATTTGAATGCTGAGAACCATCGACGACCGTCTTTGAGGAGCTCTTGTTGGGTTGCCATTACCGAGGGTGTTTTATCGCCCCACCACCCGTTGACGGGGAATACGTGTTTGTTCTTTGGTCGACCCGTTCCTCGAGAGAGGATGTGCATTGTGCGCCGGGAGAGACCGTCTGTGTAGGGTTCTGCTGCCTCGAGGGATGTGAAGGTGCTGGGCATTTGAGCCCAGAATGAGTTCATGTCGCCGTCGACGAAGGGGTGTTCTTTGAGCCAGAAGGAGTCTTTGGCTAGCGACATGGCTTGGACTATTGATGGTTAGCAATTTTGAGGGATGTAATCGTCGTGTATATCAAAAAGGGGTGATTGGCTATTTGAAATTGTAGCTCATGATGAGTCTGATGAGTACACTCTCACTAACTTAGTGCTCCGATATGAGAACAACTTACCATCAAGCCTCCCAAAAATCCTAAACAAATCCGAATCATGAGTCGACATAGCCGCAAGCGGTGTATCATTCCCACTCTCCTCCTTCCAAGCCTGAATCAACCGAAAGCCCAATTGAATCTGACCCATCGCCTGGATCTGATTCCCACTCCAAGCCTCAAAACACAACGTCACCAGACAATGCAGCAAAGCAATCCTCAAATCAGGTTTCTTATCAGCATGTTCTCGCATATGCTTCAATGCAATAGCATACTGCTGAAGCGCTCTCTCATGATGCTTTCTCAAACTCTCCTTCTCCTTCTCAGACTTGGACACTAACTGGCTCGTCTTGTCGAGAGCACCTAGTGCGATGACAGCGTGACGGATGGACAAGTCGCTTTCCGAGGCTTGCAACATAAGTCTACGAAACGACTCCGAGGCGAAGAGTGGGAGGATCTCCATGGCGGTTTTCGTGCTGAAGATCTTGAAGTAGTCCGATTCCTCCTGGTTCTTGAAGAACGATACCGAGGGCGCGGTGGAAACGACGGGGAGGAGGACGTTTTTCATGTACTTTGCTGAGGGGCCGAATTCTCCGTATTGGAAGCCTGTAAATCCCCGGGGCGCAAGTTCATTTTTGGCGCGTGTTGCTTTGGGTTTTCTGGGGCGGTAGCCTGCGCAGTCTATGCCGAATTTTATACAACGGTGACATTCCTGGGGGGTTTCAATGGTTTGGTTGATAGTTGGGTTTTTTTGGAAAGACTTACTGGCTTCTCTTCTCCGCATTTGACCTATTCCCAACGGAATTAGTATGGCTGAGTTGGAACCGAAGGAGGAAAGCAAGAAGAAAAAGAGAATACAAAAAAGAAATATGTGTCTCTCCATTAACTTCCAAAATACGATCAAATGAACAATACAACTATTTCACCCCCGGAAAAATAAAAAAACACCACCTACCCTTCTCTCCTTACACGTCACACACCCGCTCTTAACCTTCGGCAGCCCACGACGAGGGATCGCTCTCCCCCTCGTTTTCAGTTCCGTAGGCGACTCGCTGCTCCCCGAAGAGTTCTCCATGGCACACAATCTCCACGCTCAGATAGCAAATCCAACGGCTTCGAACAACGGGTCGGGAATGGCAGTAAAGGGATCTCGAAACATAAAAACGTGAGCTACCCCAACATCCATCCGTAAAGCCTCCCCCCATTCAAATCGTGGAAGGCCCGGATGGCGCCCCACATCTGGATGTGATAGGCCTGTCTTCAGCTGCACTCGCGGAGCCCATTCGCGGAGCAGACAAGGAGGGGAAATAAAAATAGAAATACCCGTACGGGAGATACTACCCTGGGTTTGCACTCCCTCCGCTGTGAACACACGGCGCTAGCAGTGTATAAGAAAGTGATGGAATGTATGGACCCGGAATTGTCTGCCTAAACCATAGAAGAAATGGGGGCACAATACCCCCAAAAGACTTCTTAAAATTGTCGTGAGGGACTATTGGTGATACCAACGAGCGGACTTGGACCCCTGTCTGCGGTGGAGCTGAACATCCCATCCCATGCCGTCCTGTTGAGAGTTGGGGGGATGAAGATCTCTTCCCGATGGAAGATCTTTGTTCGGAAGTTGGACGTTCAGCTGCAGCCCTCATCATGGGGAGAATGAAAGAATTGAGAGGTTTTTTAGGATGGATGGCAGTTACCTGTGGTTTATATATTTGTCGAGTAGTTGAGGGAATCAGCCGGTAATGACCGTGCTCGTGGCGCGCTCGTTAATCGTATTTTGTTCTTGGGAATAGGGAAAGTGGTATTGCTGCCAGCCAGTGAGATCTCGTACGAGTTATGCCGGTAGAAACCAGATATTTATTGGTATCTACGAGTAGGTATGTATATACAGTATTTTGGTGCCATAGTGGAGTTCCCCTCCCCTCCTTAGCAAGGTACCAAGTTCAGAACGCGTAATAATCTATATTGTGGCAGAACGCCCTCTCATCCTCGGTAAACAAAATATTTAGTATATCTATTCCCCTATTCCCTCAAACTCCACTCTAGTTCGAATACTGATACTCGCCCATCATCCGAGCCCTTTCCCTCTCAGCAAAGCCGTCGACCAATGCCTGGATTCGCGACTTAAACAACAGCTTATTTAGGTTCGCCGGAAGTAAATGTTCCATTCTCAACGGAGCCTTCCTCATCTTGATCTCGTGTTCCACGTAGTCAGACAGAGCCGGTTCGATATAAGGTCCAATATTAGCAGCCGACCTCTTGATATTCTTCTCGACAGTTTCCACTTCCAGGCCTTCATTCCAATCCCGGATCGAATTCAAGATCTTCGCACTATCAAAGATCTTCCCCGTACTCTGATAAAAGACCCCATTCATCGCGAACGGATTCTTCTCCACCGTCTCATCATCATTAAACTTGCAGTACTCGTAAAAAATCCACACCTCTTTACTCCACATATCCATCACGACTCGAAACTTAGTAGACTCATACCCATCCCCTTTCTTAACACATAAATCCCCAATATCAAACACCACCACAGCCGGCAAGCGGGACTTTCCCGTCGCACCCACGATCGAGAAAGTCTCATGCACATATCTCCCACCAGCACCGCGTCCCTTCGGTCTCGCCAGCCCGGGTCCTCCAAAGGAAACGTAGTAGTCCTCAACAAGAGGGATCATCACCGGGGTAGTAAACACCTTTTCCCTTGCCAGCCAGAACCCTAGAAATTCGTCTTTGCGGTCGAAATCTAGTCTTTTCAGATCAGTGAGGATTTCTTGGGGTTCTCTGGGAGCGAGGTGGCATTGGTGGTATGTGGACATCTCGCTGTTGTATATCCCGTCCCGAGCACGTGGGTTTTTGGGACGGTTCAGTTTGGCTAGACTTTTAGGGGCTGTGTTTTTGTTAGCTGACTTGTGGGTTTTGTGCGTGATGTTGTGTATTTACTCACGAACTTTGGGGTTTTTCATGGTTACGGGGTGGTGAGCGATACCGGGTTTTATGACCAAGCTGTCACGGTTGGATTGATATTTTTTCAGAGTTTGGACGGGTGCCGCACTGTTGAAATGCTTGGGAACGGACACTATTTTTGTTGTGGCGGCCGTTGAGATACTAAATTCCTAGTGGGCGCAATTGGGGTTGGGAGTTGCGCCGGCGATACTTAGCTTTGGTTTGGATCGAGCTAGAGTTCGCTAACGGGTCGATTAGAAAAGTTTTATGATGAATGTTTATATCCGTTGTGGACGATCATTCAAGCTTCATAGTTATTCACGGGGGGCGTGTGTTTTCGCCTCTACATTCACTGAGAATTGAGAGTCAATAAGGGGGATTGCCATGTCAATAGTTATCTCGCGTAGAATTCCCGGTCATACTGAGACCTTCCGTAATATCTTCCCATTCTCTTGCAATATTTTGTACGAGAGATGCAGATTTGCTAATAAGGGAGCATGTATGTATAAGATCCCAGAGATGGATAAGATAGTAAACTAGGGAGGAAAAAAATCTTAGTTGAGGACCGCGTTCAAAATTCAAGTAGTTAAGTTCGTAGTAATAAGTTACCTGCTTAAGTTAACCCAGAAGTCGGCCCGAGTCCCCGTAGCGTGCCCGAGTTCCCGTCGATACTTCGGATACCGGTTGCGCGCCGGTCCGATTTAGTAGATTTAGCTAAATCCCTTACGAGTCCCTTTATAAGTTAATTACCCTGTTATATTTAATAGTTTATCGTCCATTCGTCACACGTTAGATGAGAGGCTTATTGTAGGTTTTATTTTGTATTTTGCTGGCTAGCTTCAAACGCTTATACTTCGACCACATATGCACCAATCAAAAGGCTCCACTTTGTGGGATAATTGAAGGATAAGCGCTCTCGGCCTCGCGTCCCTCAAGGGGAGCAGTAAAACTATCTAGAAATAGGCACATAGCCTATACGCAAGTACAACACTCAGTAGTAAAATAGGCACATAGCCAAACAACTCAAAACCCATTCTGAAGCATGGCGAGCAATTCGCGAGGGGCAAGTGGGTGGGAAAAAGAGCTCGAATAGTGTGACTGACGATAATGTTGTGGTGTTGATGATTGAGGAGCTACTGTACGAGGGGGAATATAATATACCCCCTGCACTTCCTCATTCACTATAAACCTCTGCTATTAAAGCAAGTCTATAACTTGTTACTGTATAATTCTAGGTATGTTAGCTAATACTATTATTAAATAAGTACTTCAAAAGGTCTTTTTATGTAAAATGCTATTTCAAAACTACTGATGTCATATTTAGGTACAAGTAATCAAAATCTATTATTTGACTTGACTTACGTAGTAATCAAGTCCAGTTGAGTGGTTGATTTGTTATTCTTTCAAAAGATAGTCCAAGATCTAATGTTACTACTTTTATAAAGCACATATATCGAAGTACGGAGAACGCGGTTAAAGGTTATGGCGGTACAGGGCATAGCCCTATAGTAGTACTCTAAAGGGCCGTAAGTGCCCTAAAGCGCTCTCGGACTAAATATCTACTATAATCTACTATTATTTAGTAGTAGGCCCTTATATTTTAGTAATTAATCTACTATAACTATAAGGTATTTTAGGGCCCTTTTAAGCAAGGGTATATACTAGTAGCTAAGAAGTTTACTAAAAAGCGAGGTAAATATATCCTTAAAAAAGGAAGAGGTAGAATTATCTAGTATTAGTACTAAAAAGTAATTCTTAAGCTACTTCTTTTATCCTTTATAAAAGAATAAAAAAAGTAATATCCGAATATATATATATAAGAGGATAATATAGCTACGTATACTTTAAAGTACTAAGATAAATTATTTAAGCTTTAGGATATATTACGCTTACTCTAGCTATCTAATTCTCCCGACCTAAATACTATTAAGCTATATTAGTTTTAGATAAAAAAAGAGACTATAAAGTTGTGACGGTTATGGTCACGAGGGCTGGATGTCACATGCTCGCTTAGCGAGGCGCTAGCACGCACAACCTGTATTTAGTTCCCAGCTCTCTCGAGCTCTCCTTCTTTCCTCGTCTTTTGTCCTAAGAATAGAGTGTTAATTGTTCTGAGTTCTACCTGAAGCACGTCTGTCACATTACAAAAGACCCTTAGTTGAGGCTAAGTATCCCAGGTCTAAGTTCACGTTCACGTCCAAGTTCAGGTCCACGATCTTACGTCTCAATTCTCACGATTTCTACCACTTTCTTGTGCGCAAGAACCCTACACTTTACAACACGACGAAACCTCTTCTTTTTTCGACTTCTCTACAATGGATGCCCTTCAAGTTCAGTCCGCCATCGCTGAGTTGCAAGCTGAAGTCCAGCGACAGCGCGACGAGATTCACTTACTCCGGTCAAGAACATCCGCAAAGCCTAAACCTTCCCTCCCAGACCCTGACAAATTCACTGGCCAGGCTCATAAATTCGACACCTGGCTTCCCTCAATCAAAGCAAAGCTACGAGTCGACGGTACAGCTATTGGAGACGCTATTGCGCAGTTCTACTACGTCTACCTCAACCTTGACTCCCACGTCCAAGCCATGGTCCTTCCACAGCTCTCTCAAGCAGAAGACACCCAAAGCTGGGACTACCAAACAATCCTCGAACAGCTCGCGCGCGTGTACGACAATCCAAACAAGGTACAGGAGGCGGAAGACAAGCTATTTGCCCTCAAGCAAGGTGCTGACTCAGTCCCTACATATATCGCCAAGTTTGAGCGTGTCCTTTACGAAGCAAGAGGTCAGGACTGGCCAGATGTCAACAAAATTTCCACCTTTAGGAATGGCCTTAATTCTACTCTTCGCGGACGACTTTCTCAACAACTCAACCTACCTCGCGATTATACTACATTCATACGCGTCGTACAACAATTAGCAGGCCGCTTCTCTTCGTCTACACAACCTACACAGTCCTACTCCTCTGGCAACCACCACAGCGAACCAATGGACATAAATGCTTTTAGCATCAATTCCATCGACCCATCCTCTCCTCCACGCGCTCGCTCTATTTCCCCTGAGCGTAGAGATCAATATAGAGCTGAAGGCAGGTGTGTACGATGTGGCTCCTTGGAACACTGGGTCAACGATTGCATACTCCGTCCTTTCTCACCAGGACCACAAGGAAGGAAATCAGCCATAGATTTGGGGGATCTACCAGCTGGGGAGGCATTCCCAAAGCCAGTACGAAAGCAGATTGCAAGACCAGGCAGAGTAGTAATAGCAGCTATGAACGACAATGCTTACGATAGCGCGGAGGTAGATTCGGACGATCCTGACCATCCAGATGCCTGGCAAAAGGGTATTTTTCACAATTAGTTCAGATTTTCAACGCTCGGGGCGAGCTCTTTTTAAAGGGGGGGGTGATGTGACGGTTATGGTCGCGAGGGCTGGATGTCACATGCTCGCTTAGCGAGGCGCTAGCGCGCACGACCTGTATTTAGTTCCCAGCTCTCTCGAGCTCTCCTTCTTTCCTCGTCTTTTGTCCTAAGAATAGAGTGTTAATTGTTCTGAGTTCTACCTGAAGCACGTCTGTCACAAAAGTAGAGAGTACCTAGTACTAACTTAAAAAGAAAAGTAGCTTAGAGAGAGTACAAGGCGAACTTATCCTAGGAGCGTATTTAGGTATAGATTAAGTAGATCCCTAAATATATAAAAGAGGTTATTAAATTAGAAGGAGGTAATAAGTATAAAAAGGGGAGAAAAGTAGGCTAACCGAAGCGTAAAGTTTACTAATTCATTTATTTTATACTCTTATAATAAAGTTTTTTTAAGCCTCCTTTAATTAAGAAACTATATGAAACGTACGTGAATTACCCCCTCTTTTAACCCCTGAGCGTACCTAGCTAAGCTAGCCCCTTTATTTTACCCCTATAGGGTTAAATTATAGACCTACAGGCCCCCCGGTACCCCCCAGCGTCTATCAAACTTAGCTATAGGGGTATTCTGACTAATCAGGGCCTTGGATTTAGGGTAGAGCCCTATACCGCCATGATCTTGGACCGCGTTCCCCGTATTACCTGTAAGGATACCAATTCCAGAATAATTAAGTAGCACAACGTGAAACTAAAAGATTGATCTCTTTGAGCGAATGTAGAGAATAAGAGACGATGCAACGCTAGGTCAAAATACCGTGCTTGCTCTTCATAACTGATTTCTGATTGTATTCATGTGGTGAACGCTAACACCAATGTGTCACGAATCACGTGTTAGCATGTGACGAGTGAAGACCAGGCGGCGTCCTGACAGGTTAAGCACTATCATGCTCTTATAGCGAATAGGGATCGGCTAGACTAGCTAAGCGATCCAAGGATTTCATTATAGTCACGTGACGGATCCTTGGATCTGGATGGATCTTGGGGATCCTAGGATCCAACCAGATCCATGAGCAAGAAGGTTCTATATAACACTGGCACGTCTGCCATTAGATAGGAGCTTCGTGCTCAACTTAGTTATCAATCTTATCATATTAGTTTGACATCTTTGATACAAGTAACGAGTTCACTTCCAAGTGAACAACCCGATAGTCTTCTTCTTATCATAGCATACCAACCAGCGAACACCCAGCCAAGTTTAGTTAGCCAGTTTGAGTATTCGTTACACAATGCTGGCAACTCGCACCGTAAAGTTTTAAAGGAAAGGAAAAGGCGACGCTTAGAAGAAATCGCAGATGCATATGATCACAGCCAAAACGCTGTCACAACAGGACTCAAATTGATGAATAAACGGATCCCATAAAACGCGCAAAGGGAACACAGAAAGACAGGAATCCAACCCTTCCTCTCGAGTCAAGTTTTTGTAATTCTCAAAACCCTTGTTCACGACATTCGCGAACGACAAGAAAAAGACAGAAATAAGAACACTCTCGCCTTTTGTCTCTTTCCTTTTCGAGGCTCTATCAAATCGTTCGAGAAACCTAACAACGACGTCGTTTATTGCCAGTTCTCTCGACTCTTGTTTACAGCGAGCAACGTGCCTTG